TTTTTTTGCTATAGGTTGTGTGTGCTCACCAGAGATACAGAGAGAAAGTGGGAAATCACCCCCCAGGGGGTATGGCCACATCACAGTCTCTTCTCCTCCATTCTTCTCTTGGGATTTTGGGCATGCATGCACATGCGTCTGGTGTGAGCCGCCAGGTCCAGGACTCAAACTGTGGTCAGTCACGTGGGAATCTAGTGCCACAATCAGTATGCCACCTGCTGGCTCCTCTTTTTTCTTTTTTTTAATTTTAAGTTTATTTCTTCCTTCTATGTCTCTTCCTCTCTAGACTGGCAGCTCCCAGAGGGCAGAGACCTTCCCCTCCAGTGCCCTCTGCTGCCTCTGGAGCCCAGCACAGAGCCTGGCACCCAGCAGGAAGTGAACAAATGCCAGGACACGGACCGAGGCTTCCTTTTCCGACTCCCTCTCCCACGCAGTTCCAGGACAGACTCACCCCTCCCCCAACCCCATCCACTCCCTCCCATCCTTCCTGTCACTTCCATATGGCACAGACAATGAAAGTAAAACCATAGGGGTGGCAGTGGCCCGTGCCATGGCTGTGAGCAGGCAGAGTAGGGGGACAGGCAATGAAAACACGGTGGCATGTGGATCTCTGGAGTGTAGTTCCTCCCCCTTGACCTGCCCTAACTGTGGCTGTCGGGGCTTATACGGAAGCAGATGCCTCTAGCCCGACCCCTGCCAGCCTGGCCCCAGTTAATAGTTTACCAGATCACTATAAATAGTCCCAAGGCAGCGCTCCCCAACAGTCTGAGGGTCAGTCGGCTCATCCTGACCTGAGGGGACGCTTGTTCCAGGCCTGAGAACGGGGTTCCTGCAGACAAGCCTCCCTCTCCTGCCCTGCCCTGCCTGGGTCCTGCAGATACCCCCGACAAGGAGCATGCAGCAGGGGCCTCTGGACAGAAAGATCCTGCGGGCCGACTCCCCCGTGTCCAGCCACTGGAGGGGAGGATGGCGCTGTGCAGACCCTCCCCTAGGCTCTCCCTTGCCCAGAGAAACCAGCCTGCGTGTTTCACATTCCCAGCCCACGCCTGGAGACCGGCCAGCTGTCTCCTGGGTATTCTGCCTGCTGGATGAGGCTGGGCCCCTGGCAACACGCCCCTTCCACAGGCCCCACGATCCTCAGGGAAGAGGCAAACGCACACAGACTCCAGAGACCACCTGAACTTTGGGGAGGGTTTGTGGTCTGGGCAGCCATGGAAAAATAAGAAACAAAATTCCCAGATGGCTGCTACAAACACACAGGTGTGAGGCCGGACAGGGGCGACGGTGGTCAAGCACGGCGCTTTGCAAGGCTGACCAGCATGGAAAAGCCCCAGGTTCCTGTCCAGGGACTTCTGTGCGTGCCCTGTGTAGGCGTGTGCCCATGGGGGGCTGGCTGAAGCTAGACTGGATCACAGTGTCAGGGCCCTCCCTGTTGAGGGCCTATCTCTGTCTCTGTCTGTCTCTCTCTGTCTCTCTCTCACTCATGAAAAAAATAAGTAAGCAAAAATACACATATAGGATTAAACCAGAAAATGAATTAACCGCCTCTTTTCAACTTTAGAAGAAAAGTAGTCCAATATGGGTCTAAGGGCTGACTCCGAATCCTAGCCCTGCCTCTTACTAGCTGTGTGATCTGGGACAAGTCACTTCACTTCTCTGTGCTTCTGTTTACTCATCTCTGTAAAATGGGACAATAACTAGTACTTAACTCTCTGATGGCTGAGCTGGGTTGTTTTGTTTTCTTTTGTTTTTTACATTAAATATGTTAAGTATCTAGTATAATATCCAGAACATGACAGAACTTTCTAGAAATGCTTTATATCTCTGCTTATAGGATCCCTAGCTATAAGTGGCTATTGAGCATTTGGTTTTAGTTTTTCATTTTTTTTTAAAGAATTGATTTATTTATGCATTCATTTATTTTCATTTGACCAGAGAGAGACAACAGAAAGCAAGCCACCAGGTCTGGGACTCGAACTGTGGTTGGCCATGTGGGAGTGTCCAGCGCCTTAACAACCTTGCCACCCGGTCCCACTATTGAGCATTTGAAACGCAGCTAGTGTAATGGAAAAGTTGCATTTTACATTGAACTTAGCTTAATTAAGATGTAAATGAGCTTGTGACTAGTGGTAGGTTTGGAACATAGTGGGTACGCAGAAAACGTGAATGATGTGGCCAGCGGATAGTGGGGTGGTTAAGGTGCAGGACTCCCACATGGCCAACCGCAGTTTAAGCCACCAGACCTGGTGGCTTGCTTTCTCACTTTCCCTCTCGCTCTCTGGTGAGCACACATGATAGCAAATTAAAAAACAATAACAGGGGACCAGCAGGTGGAGTGGTAGTTAAGGCACTAGACACTCCCACAGGGCTCTCCTGGTCGATTAAAATAAAAGAATAAATAAATAAAATTAAATAAATGTTCTTAAATAATAAAATTAATTTTAAAAAAGAAAACGTGATGATTTTTATTGGGGGCTGTCATCATGGCTGTTATCAGAACACCCACTCATTGAGAAATCGGGAGGGCCCGGTCATTTCTGCGCACACCCAGGACAGGCTCTTCTGCACTCACCCCTCTGTCATGCCATCTTGCAGGGTGTCACGGGAGAAGGTCTCTTCCCCAAGGCTCATATGTTGAAATTCTACCCCCAAAATGATGGCATTAAGATGTTAAGCCTTTGGGGGTAATGAAGTCATGGGGGGGGCACCCTCTTGAATAGGACTAGTGCCCTCGTAAGAGACCCCGGAGAACTCCCCTTTCCACCACAGCGCGAATCAGCAGCCTGGAGTCCTGCAGAGGGCCCTCCCCAGAGCCCAAACATACCCGTACCTTGACCTTGGGCCCGCAGCCACCAGAACTGCGAGAAATACACTTCTGTTTTTTGAAAGACTCCCAATCTATGGCACTCGGTTGTTTCAGACCCACCCACCCAAGACACAGGGTGATTCCAAACCATATTTGGGTATATGGGCTGTGCACCCCTTAGAGGTACCGACAGCTGGAGACCCTCTCTCCATACACGCTACACCCCATCTCAGGGGTCTGCAGACGCCTGAGCAGAAGTCCTTGATCCAGCAGACACTTGACACACAGCAAGTCCCCGGGCACTGGGGCCTTGGGCAGGTGCAGAGCCCGAGAAAGGACACCTCCGAGGCTGGGCCCCAAATGCAGGTGCCCTGGCCCCTTAGACGTGGACGCCTGTGGTGAGCCTGCCTGGTTTCCATCTCCCTGTCTGGTTGTTTCACAGTGCCTCTCCTCAGGTGCCCCTCCCTTACTCTCATGGGGCTGACTCCTTGACCAATCAGAACAAACCATCCCACTGGGATTGACGCAAAAGGGGCACGTGATGCCAGCCGGTCTGGTGAGCCCTAAGACTTCGGCTAGAACCATTGGGAAGGGGAAGCGCTCTGCTATGCCAGGCTGGCAGATGGTGCCCTGAGAGCTGCTGGGCAACACTTCTCCGCCCCACGGAGAGAGACTGAGCATAAAGCCCACACAGACAAAAGCAGCACAGAGAGATGGACAGAGACCGTGTCCAATGACATCATTAGAACCCCTGGACGTAGCCGCGCCTGAAAGCGGAATCACCCCACACTCCCCGAACACTTGAAGCTAAAAATGCATTTTCCAGCCTCTCTTTCCGTATATGTTGACATACTGATTTATCATTCTAGCTCGTTTTAGTAGGGTTTATCCAACTTGCAATGGGTAGAGGATGGAGCTGGCTAACAAACCTCTGCCGTTTCTCAGCTGTGTGACCTGGGTTCAGTTCCTGGACCTCTCTGAGCTTCGATTTCCTCATCGGTAAAGAGCAGTTGCTACCCTACAAGATTACCTTGTGCATTAAATGAGATAAAGCAAAGCATTTGGAGGCTGCTTGATGCTGGCAGTTGGTATGATTCTAACTTGCTAATTAGCATAAGTTAATAATAATTAAATGGGGATTCAATGTCCTGAGTTATCACCAAATCTCTTAAATTCTCATGGCCTCTGCTCTCTGACTTTTAAGCGGGGCTCCCGATAAAAGGACCTGTTGTTGTCCTTTATAAACACCCACAATCAGCTTTCCTATGGAATTGTTAAGAAAAGAAGGCACGAAAATCTTTTCACCTCCCATGTTCTCCTACCAGTAGGAGAAAGAAAAACACAGTGTCCTTCATGGGGGTTTGGCACGCCCAGGCTCATGAGACTTGGACCTCTGTGGGCTGACTGATGGTCTCCATGGGCAACCCCACTCAGAAGGAAGAACCCGCTCCCCAGCTCTCCACCCCAGGAGGGCGATACGTCCAGCCCACACTCAGCCCTCCCACTCCCACTTGGCCCTCCCAACTCTGCTTGGGATACCTTTAGGTCCCAATAATTTTATTTATTTATTTATTTATTTTTGCCAGAAGCTGTATGTATTCACTGGAGACAGATGGAGAGAGAAGGGGAGGGAATAAAGCACCCCCCAATGGAGTATGGTCACACCACAATCCTTTCTCCTCTATCTTTCCACCCTGCCAGGATTCAGAGCCTGGCATGTTCTTCAAGTCACCAGGCCAAAACTGAGACCACCACGTGGGTGGGCCATGTAGGACCCAGCTGCCTCAACCACCAGCCATCAAGTAGGCCCCGTTCTCATTCATCCTTCAGCCCTACTCTGAGGGCTGTCAGTACCTCCAGCCCATAGCTCACCCAGGGAGAGCAAGATCCCACACTAAGAGCGTCTGCAAGTTCAGATGGGACCAGAAAGGGCAGCAAGGTGTCTAGTGACAGCACAGCAGCACAGCTGTGTGACAGACGTCCTCACTGTGTGACATGCCAGAGAACTAGCATCAGAGAGGTCCCCACAGCTGCCAACTCGCAGGACCCCAGCCGTCTCATTCCCAAACTCGCCCCTCTCCCCTGCTCCCCAAGCCCAGCTGGTACATCACCACGTGTGGGATATCAGTTTTAGCTCCAGGACAACATGGGGCAGGGTTCTGGGGCCCCACTCTCAGGCCGGACGCCAGCCCACCTTTGTGATCTACAGCCAGGTACTTGCCGTCTCTGGGCCTCGGCCTCCTCGTCTCTAAGAGATGGGGTCCTGCTCACTTCATGGGGCCTGGGGATAACAAAATGAGCTCACCATATAAAATGTTCTTGGTAGACACTGTTGTTTAGTGTGTTCCATTTTGTACAAAATTACTTTTCTATTTATTTGTTGTGATTTTCAAGATACCAGGTCTGGAACTTGAACTGCAGTTGGCTATGGGAATCTGGCCCCCAGCTAGCACTTTGTTTCGCTTTTTTTAAGAGAGTTTCACTGTGCCGCGATCCTGGTGTCTCAGCCACTGGAGTAAACGGGACTACGGCGCTCCACTGTCCCCAGGTGGTTTTGTTTGTTTGTTTTTTTAATTTGCTCATGGAGAGACATAAAGAGAGAGAGGGAAAATGAGAACTCACCCCTCAAGGCTATAGTCCCTTGTCCTCCATTCTCCTCTCAGGACTTGGGGTATCCACTCACATGAGCCCTAAAATCATACAGTTGGCCGTGTGCGATCCAGTACCGTAACCTCCACCCCACCAGCTGGCCCTTGCCCCAAGGTTTACAGGGCTTTTAGGGACTCGAACATGGGCCTCCCACGTAGCTGCAGCCCACCCCATAGCAGCATCAGCCAGCATGCACCTGCAGCAGCTGGACTCACGTATATGCTGCATTGGTTTGTGTTTGCTTGGCTCGTCATCTTTATCCTATTAGAATGGCTTGAGGTGAACCCCGATCTTCCCTGAGTGGAGAGAAGGCTCCCCCAAAGTCTTATCAGTTACGGAGTGTTTAATCAGTCTTGAATCCAGACTAGGCAAGTCAGAGTAGAGACGACACGGAAGACTTGGCTGTCGGAAAGTGACACCAGCCAAATGAGATGGGATGAGGTTCTTAGAAGCCTGGAGGGAGCTGTCCAAGCTCGTCCACTTAGAAAGCAGAAAAATGAGGCTGTGAAAAAAAAAGACCTGCGAGGAGACACAGGCGTCGTCTGGCACAGAGCTAGAACGAGCACTTGGGCCCCCTCACGTTCCATCCTGGGTTCTGCAGCCAGCAACCGCAGGACAAACGTGCCCTTCCCTGCCTGCTCTCCATCAGCAAATACCACCCCCGCTCCTAGGGACCTCGTGAAGCTGCTGCAGGGGGGAATCCAGCCGGACGGCACAGGAGATACAACCAAACAAGAAAGCCAGGCCCCTCCAGCCACCCTCCTTGCACTGAACCAGGGCCAAGGCTGCTGCAGACGCCTGCCCGTCACATTCAGAAGCTCCCGGAAGCCACATTGCCAGAGGCCTGAAAAAGCACAGGCACACATCGGAGCTCGCGTCTGCATTATTCATGAGGAGAATTTCTGGTCTCTTATGGCCACAGACTCAAGGCACACGAGCTGATTTGAGTCAGTCCTGCAGGCTCCAGGAAGCCAAAAAAATATCCCACCTGGCATTTTTTTTGGGTGGGCACTTCAGGAGACTCTGCTCAGCACAGCAGGGGATTCGAGGGTGGGGGGCTGTGATTTCCAGACCAAGAACTGAAACTTCCGGCAAAGCCCAAGCAGAAGTTACCTGTCTTGTCTGGTGACCTGGTGTCTTTGCTTCCTCCCAACTTGTCCCCTAATACTTAAATTTTCCTTCCCTGCTCAAAACCCCTCTACGGCTCCCACCTTACAGAGTAAAAGCCAAAGGCCCTGCGTGCTTGGCCTTCTCATCTCTGCCCTCACTTGCCATGCTCCAGCCTCCTTGGGCATGGAGTAAGCCCGTCGGAATGAAGACTTACTAACGGTATTACACAGTTCAGTCTCTCTTCTACAGCCTATGTCTACACACAGGTTAAACAGGCATTCTAAGGGGCCAGCAGGTGGCAGGGTGGCTGGAGCGCTGAACACCCACCTGGCCAACCACGGTTCAAGTCCCAGACCCTGTGGCTTGAAACTCACGCCAGGGGCATGTGTATGTGCATGTGTGCCCAAGGTCCTGAGAAGATGATGGAGAAGGGATTGCAGCATGGCCATCCCCTCCTGGGGTGGGTAGATGTGGCAAAATTCTCTAAAAAAAAAAAAAAAAAAAAAACCACACAAAAAAAACAGGTGTTCTAGAAGATTGAACCCAAATGGCACTGACCCTCACTCTCCTTCCTTATCGCAAATACGTATATGAGACAATTAAAAAGAAGTGAGGATGAGGTGCCGGAGAACAGTTTGTTCCATGATTATGGCTTACAGAAGTGGAGGGTAGGCGGGTGCCAGGTCAGAGCTTTTCCAGCCCTTCCAGCACCGCCATCCTGGCTGGATCGTCTTTGTGGTGATGGCGGGGAGCCGTCTCGTGGACTGCAGGAAGCTGAGCAGCATCCCTATTCTCAGCTCAGCAGACACACGGGGCACCCTCAGCTGCGACAACCCAAGATGTTTCCAGACATTGCCAAATGTCCCCTGAAGTAGGGCTGCCAGACTGAACAATACATGCTTCTTGCAGAAACCGTATTCATTTTTTTAAAAATGTTTGCCACAGGATGAGTGCCCTTGCCAGAGAGAGAGAAAGAGAGACAGAGAAGGAGAGGGAAAGTGAGGT